GTGCTCGTCTGGTAGGAGGGGCTCAGGGCGGAGACAAACGAAACCTAACTCCTATGAGACTCAAAAATCAACTGTTTTCAGGCTTTCTACCTACTGCAGCTTTAAAATGGCAGAAAAGGGTACTTAGCTGCGAGAGGGGTGCAACATGATCACACCCTTGTAAAAGCCCATGTGGCTTCCCCTCAACTGTGGCCGATTGTAAAAGTCTTTCCCCTTTGTCTGCGGTCCACCCTCCGGTTCCGCGGGTCCCGCGGTCCAACACTGGATCTGCCTGGAGGATACAGAAAGCACAGCCGGCAGTCCCCCGCCAACACACCAGCACAAATATTCTTTCCACATCTGCCTGGCCCCGCAGCCTGCCTTCTCTGTCCACAGCTCAACACTTAAAATAACACTCACGTTTTTTCCTGGGGAGTAGTGTCCTGCTATTCACCCAGGCTAGAGTTGTAATGCTGAACGGACACAGACTGCTGCACTTCAGGTGTGTGGGTGCTCTCCTGCAGTGGTGGTGGTGGTCTCTCTTGCTGGCCGGCTACCCGCTTGGGTCCTCTGTCTTTCATGCCGCTCTCTGCTTTACTGCTGCTTACAAAAGAAAATTGTTACACCTGTGCTTGCCACCACCTGTGGCTTGTTGCGCTGATTACCCTACTGTCTGGGGCGAGTCCGTGTACAGTTCAGGGTCAGTTCGGGAAAAAATAAACACTACATGCAATTAACTTAAACCCCAACTAAAATAATGAAAACACTGCAAATAACACAGCATATGACATTCCATAAACATAACTAAAACACAGCAAGGAGAACGAAGTAACAAAACATGTAACATTCGTAAAACTGACCCGGTCACAGTTGCCTGGTGTCAAACAGAATAAGAGTGATAATGCTGTGCAACTCCCATTTGTCAGCAGCCCCAGGGTCTCCCTGTAGGTGAATATGCCCAGAAAACCTCCAGAGGGAGGTGTCCAACAGGTATCCCGATCAAATGTCCAAACCATTCCAACAGGCTCCTTTCAGTACAAAGAAACACAGCTTGTCCTCTGTGAAAGGTTGAGTGTAGAGTTTCTCTTTAAAATACTGCTATCAAAGCCACCCATCAAAGACAGAGGCAAACAGACTGACAGGAAGACCAGAGGAGAGATTAAGTGAAAAGTTTCCGACACATTACCATGGAAGTCAAATGGCAACAATAGATGCTGGTGGCTGTAACTGGACTGTATGGCTTAAAGAAAGAAAAGGGAATGGCACTCTGCTTCACCCCACACTCTTTTGCAAGGACACACAAACACACACACACACACACACACACACAGTGTTAACAGCTACAGTGAGCATGCACCCTAACCTTTTCTGCTCCCTCTAAAAGCAATAAATCCTATTTCATGCCTCAGTCCAGCCCAGTCATCAGCAGAAGATGTTGGCATTGTGCATTTCTTCAATCCACAATTACATTACATTTGCAGGTTTCATATGTATCATATCAGTATCACCAAAGTGACGTATATGAGATGACTTTGTCATCTGGAGATAGAGGGGCTGTTGGATGGTGTGACACCAAGGTAAAATGCCTGCCAAGCTGTAGACCACTGTTCAAGACTAGCAAACAACAAGTGTGGTAGTCTAGTTTAGATCTAGTGACTCATCACTGTTTCCTGCAGCTTTTAGGCATGAAAAATGGTTGTGTTTTAGGGAGACATCACTGCTTACTCTGCTGGATCGTACCCCCAAATTTTGGTATTTTAAGCCAAAACATGATGTTTTCCTAACCATAACCAAGTGGCTTTTGTGCCTAAACCTTACCACATGTTAACCACAGCAAAGCAGTATGGGCAAGTTTCTCTCAAAATGTAATATATTACATATTACTAGTAACCTTCACTTGAAAGTAATAAGTTTGCATTACTTTCACCAAAATGGGCTCAGAGGAACTAATGATCATTTTAAATGGATGAGGGTCATGTTGTTTCACAGCAGGTAATCAAAGCACAGAAGCTCCAGTTTATTACAGTTCATTTCAAATCCAGAGCTGCACAGGTCTGACCCATTCATGCATTCACATACAGTGGTTACCACTTTGTATTAAAATCTCCTGCTCATATTAATAATACCATGATGATATAGAGCAATTAAATAGCCTAGACCTTTTTAAATAAATGAATAGCCTTGGACACAGGGAGGGTCAGGCAGAGGATCAAAGTCTGATAATTATGGTAAATGGATGGCACTTTTATAACGCTTTTCTACTTTTTCGACCACTCAGTGTTTTTACACTACATGTCTCATTCACCCATTTATACCAACAGTCATATACTGGTGGTCGAAGCTACCATACAAGATGCCATATGCTACGCAGTAACCATTCACATGCACCCACACACACCAAGGATGCTTCGACATGTGGACTGGAGGAGCCGGGGATCAAACCGCTGATCTTCCGATTGGTGGAGGACCCGCTCTGCCTCTGAGCCACAGCTCAGTTTAGCCAGGCTAAAGACACACACACATTATGAGATACAGATAAATATTGTGTATGAAACACAATAAAAAATGTTGAGGTTAGCACTACAAATTGATAGGCTGGAAGACCTGGAAGACCCACCTGCCCAATTAAAACGATAAACAGTTTATTTTGGATGGTACCACGTTATGTGACATTGTAATTGCCATCATATTACCTGAAATCCCACTGCTGATGTGTTATATAACTTCATTACTGCTAAAACGTAGTATTTTACTGTAACACGCTGCTTTTGTACTTTTGTGAGGCATAGCCCCCAACACTGGTTAAAAGTTTAAACATATCAGCTGCATAATAATGTACAAATGTAACATCTCCGTTTTTTGTCTTTTTTTTGCAGAATTTTTTTCTGGCTTTTGGGTTGCTCAGTCCTGAAGCACATCAGAATGCTTCAGCTCTGATCTGATTCACATCTCATTTTCTGACATCCATACCCACAGAGAATTGCTTTGCAGCACACAGCAGGGTTGTGTTGAGAGTTGAGATTATAATTCCCTCTAAATCTGACTTCTGACTCTCGATACCCCATCAGTAAATACTGAACTTGATGAATTAAAGACAATAATATTTAAAAAATAATGCTTATGATAATATTTATAATGATTTTTTTCAGTTGTTTATGTGTATATATAATATCTGTGTCTCTCCTGTAATAAATCAAATGTTTTTAATATACCTGATATCAACCTACCAGTGTTTTTTGTCAGGTTATAATAAATCCAGTCACACACACTGCAGTACATTATTGTGAGATGTCACCAAGGGACTGAGCAGGACAGAGGTCAATAAGGACATACAACCTGCCGAGTGGCACATGCCCATCCACCACTCTCCATCTTCCCTCAGGGCCAGGAGTGGGTGGCACTGCCAATCTAAAGCCCACACTGAGAGACATTTATTGTTGGCTGGCTGTGCACTTCTCTATCTACGGACTTTTGTATTGCATAAGGTCTAAACAGCTTCTCTTAGCAGTAAATCAGTTGCATCGAATTAGAGCACACAGTTGTACTTTCTTAGCTCAGGTCTGCATGGATCAACACTGACTCTCAACCTGTAGTTAGTAAAAGCAGAAGACACGCTGCAGTTTAAAATGGTACATTAATAATGATGAACTTCCTGTCATGGTAAGCATCTTCATGCCCATCATTAGTGAGTGGGCAGCAGTGTTCTGCTGTGACCCCCCAGAGTGCCCTCTCCCTGTAGCAGTTTCCTCTACCCACTTTATTGGTTAATAATGACAACCTCCCTCCCATTCACTGCTAACACACTCCATTGTATTCAGTTAAAGAAGAACTTTGAAGGTTAAAGTGGCCTTTGGCACATTGTGTTTTTCTGTCTCAGGCCTATTGATTGAGGTATAATGATGATATTGGCAAAGCCACTGAAACAGAAGCTCTCTGACCTCAAGCAAATAGCCTCTGTGCAGTCCAGGACAAATTAGCATTTCTGATTTCTCTGATAAAGGCAGGGACATTGATGCAGGGTGGGACAGTGCAGAGGTACAAGGGAGACTGGCTGTGTGAGTGAGTGAGTGAGAGAGAGAGAGACAGAGAGACAGAGAGAGAGAAAGAGAGCAGTGTGCTTTCATTTAAGGAGTGAAGTAATATGAGCAGGGTTCATGGGTCATGGAAATCCTGGAAAAGTCATGGAATTTCACAATCACATTTTCTCAGTGTTGACTGTTTTGTGTTGCAGCACAAAGACAACAGCTAACGGCCAACTAGTAAGTGTGTTCTGTCCATACCAGCAGGGGGCAGTAGTCTGTATCCATCATTCAAAAGGATAAACCAGAAGACTGACAGGAAGGCTTCAAAATGCTAGTTAGCCACATTAACAACACAACCCAGTGTTGAAAAAACAAATAGAATTACTGTATGCTAGCCAAAACTAACATAATCACAAAGCTTTTCTGCTAAAGAGCTCAATGGGCAGGAAAATAATATTAGCTATGTAACATCTCACTTGATTCAAGTCATTTGTTTGCTTTTATCACTGTTTCTCTTCCCATGCATGTTACTGAACTGCTAATCAGATTGATTTCTCTCAGTGATGGGCTCCGTCAACTGTGACAGATTCAACATGCTGAATTGGTCAAAAAACCTGTGCCAACTAAAACTAAAACTAACTAGTGCCAACAATGTGGGTTACCCCACAAAAACTATGGAAACGGATGCTCACCGATGCCCCAGCATTAACCATCTGCTGATTATCAGCTTTGTGTGTCAGGGCCCTTACACAAAAAAAATATTTTTCTCCCTTTTTGAATCATGAGAGCAGAGTCACTGCTCATCCTCGTAGTTTGACAGACATGTACTTTGTTTTTCTTTCTTTCTTTTTCATTTTAAGTAAATAGAAAAATGTAGGCATGAGCGAAAGACACAGACACTAAACAGTATAAGTAAACTGTCAAGCGTTGCTGTGCACGGATTTTCATGTTGTTGTCTGTTGTCAGCATTATCAGTCTATTTTTGTCCATGCACCACAGGTAGAATGCAAAAAGGCCCAGCCCAAGGAAGTGATGTTTCCTCCGGGGACACGAGGTCGGGCCAGGGGCCTACAATACACAATGGATGCCTTCATGCTGGGCATGGGCATGCTGAGTAAGTACACTGGTTTTGCATCTGTCAATCAGCCACTCCAACACGAGTTCAGGGGATACATACAGATCTAGCAAGACTTAAAAGAAAGTGACATGCAGCAAGAGGTCCAGGCTGGACCTGAACCTGGGCTGCTGTGGTAAGGACTCAGCCTTCATTGTACACAATCTATCCTGTAGCACTGCACTCTCGCGTCCTTGATCTTTGGTTTTCCAGCGGACTGTTCGAGCAAGTCCGGCTTCTCTGCTGCTAACGCTGCTGCCGGGATACAGCTTATGAGGAGCCGGCTGCTAATGCTATGTACCTGGACACTGCTAATGCTGCTTGCTGTGCTGCTTTAGCTCAGTCGTAACTTTAACTGATGCTGAGACTCTACTGACTGTGTGACTGGTAGACGCCGGTGGGTGGCACAACAGGCCAAAACACAAATTCAAAACATAAACATGATTTGCGGACTGTAAAATATTTTTTTAAATGCGAATATTCTGGCTGTACTATTGTTGTCGGTGAGATCAGTATGTTATATGAACATTATTCCTTAGTCTCTGTGACATATTAGGAGGATTTTATGACTATTTGCTTTAGATTTCTTACATATAGCTCCTTTAATTTATAAATTTTCAATTACAGAAACCTAGAAACCCATATGAGATATACATCGTCAAAAAATGTACAGTTGGACAAAAATGTAATTTTTGTTTAGTATGCCAGGTAAGCAAGCTGCAGGTAGTAGCAGAAGTATTGACTTTATTCTAAGTTTTGCGGAGCATATGATACAAGGAAAACATTGGATACAACAAAGCAGCAGATTTGCAAAAATGGATAAATAAAACACTATAATGTGCTATGTTGTTGTTTCCAGGTTGACGAGCCATATGGAAGTAAATCTTTTTTTTTTTTTCTGTGGAAAAAAAAACCCCAAAAGTTTTCAACAGAAGGCAGCAGTATTATTTGCTCATTATCAGTTCTAATTTAACCTTTAATGAACTCTATGTAAAATCTTTCACATATGCAAGACAATTTTTCACCTAGGAAAAAATGACAAGAATAATTGACTTCATTAAATTATTCAAAGGCATAACAATGGCACTATTTCATACTTTAAAAAAGAGAAAGTGAAAATAAAATAATTTTGATATAAAAAAAGACAGTGGATGTCAGGAATAAAGGGTCCAGATTTCCTCTTAGTCATTAGTAAAAGGTTCACACAGTTTAATATATTCAGTGTCATAATTCCATTTGGCCATATTGTCGAGCGAGCTGGCTGTCTCTATCAAGTTGCTGTCCATATGTCACTCACTCGACAGCAGAAAACGGCACTCAATAAATTAAAAAAATAAATAAAAGCTCTGTGACGAAAATTCATCGTACCTGAAAAATAAAGAGTGTGCGTTTTTACAAAGTTGAGACATTTGTGAGTCACTTGCAGTCCATTCAGAATGGATCTGTGACCCACTTTTGGACTGTGGCCCACCAGCTGGGAACCAGTGGATTAAACAGCATGGTTACTACACAGCAGTGTCTTGTCACAATAAAAGGCCACTCTAAAATGTACAGTTTTATCTTAAAAACACCCAGGGCTTTATTAAGATTTAACATGACCAGCACTACAGGAAAGCATTTTTGGTCACAGATACCCCAAAGAATGACTCAGTATCTGGTGTGGTGTGACACCATTTGCCTCCTGCTGTGTGACACATCTCCCTCATATAGAGTTGATCAGGTTGTTGATTGTGGCCTGTGGAATGTTGGTCCACTCCTCTTCAATGGCTGTGCGAAGTTGCTGGACATTGGCAGGAACTGGAACCTGCTGTCATATATGCCAATCCAGAGCATCCCAACCATGTTCATTGGGTGACATGTCTGGTGAGGATGCAGGCCAGGCAAGAACTAAGATGTTTTCAGCTTCCAGGAATTGTGTACAGATCCTTGCAGCATGGGTTATACCATTAACATGGTGCAACGTGAGGTCATGGTGGTGGATGAATGGCATGATAATTGGTCTCACGATCTTGTCACATTATCTCTTCGGTTTTCGTTGTCTGTAATTTAAACGAGCCCATTCCATATCCCTACTGCCACCATGGGGCACTGCTCACAATGTTGGCTTTAACTTGCCCACACAACGCCATACACTGCTTGGATGTACTACCAAAGTCACAGAAACGACATTGAAGACAGCTTATTGTAGTGAGTTAAATGTTCAGTTCCCGGACAACAGCAATGGCATGCTCTCTCTAAATCAGTGGCATTGTGTTGTGTAATCAAACCGCACATTTTAGAGTGGCCTTTTATTGTGACCATCCCAAAACACACCTGTGTAGTAATGATGCTGTTCAATCAGCATAATGATATGCTGCACCTGTCAGGTGGATTGATTATCTTGGAAAAGGAGAACGGTAAATGGACTTGCTCTTACATATCACCCTTTTAGTCTTCCAACCACTCAAAGCACTTATACACTAGGATCACATTCACCCATTCACACACTGGTGGCCAAGGCTACCAGAAAAGGTGCCACCTGCTACTCAGTTACGACATTTACATGCACTCATAAACCGCTGGCCCCGGCATCAGGAGCAATTTGGGGTTCATTATCTTGCCCAAGGTTACTTTGGACTGGATGAGCTGGGGATCATACTGCTGATCTTCTGATTAGTGGATGACCTGCTCTACATCCTGAGCCACCTTCGCTCACTTACACGAGTTTTAATTAATGTGTGACGAAAATTTGGCAGAAATAAGTCATTTTTTGCATGAATAGGAGCAAAAATGAAAGTGTTGCATCTACATTTCTGTTTAGTGTACGTTCAAATCAAAAGCCAATGTTTTGCTTTCAGTGGCAAAATCTCTCAACATAGATGCTGACATAGTTTTTAATACATTGTCTGTGGCTAGAGAAATGTATACATGATTTCATTATTGTGTTGTTTAAGTACAAATGAGTGTTTCTAAACAGTCATATCTTGCCTTTTCTGCAGGTTATCCTAACATTGTAGCAACATACGGCAGAGGCTACACTGGTTTTGCCCCAAGCTATAGTTACCAGTTCCCAGGTAAGTTCTCTTTTAAATTGTTTGATCCCTCTTCTTAAACACACACACACACACACACATGCACATGCACATGAAAACACACACACACACACACACACACGCACACACAAACAAACTCACACACACACAGACACACGCACACACACGCACACACACACACACACACACACACACTAACACATGTGGGTGTCAGATCTCAGCAGGGTTCTTCAGGATGAATGCGTAATGCTGTCACATCAATCCAGCCTGACGAGTTCTGCTTAAAGGACAAAGTCCCTTTATAGCAATCCACACATAACAATCTAATGTCAGTGAAATACAGTCCCCCTTTCTCTCCAAATTGATTTGATAAGATGACATTAAGCTATTATTTCCTCATTCACCACCTCTACATACCTTTAAAAGTGGTAATGCCAGAGCTACTCCAAAGCTAGTCATCAGCAATTCACACTAAACGTCTGATTTCATGGTTTATTTGGACGAGTGGGAGGTGGGCTGCTGTGCCAGTTCAGTGTGTTGTACTGATGCCAACATATGACAATACTTCCTTCTGATATGATACAGAGAGACTTCCTCCTGTTTTGAAAGTACAACTGTATCATTATTGTCATTATTATATAAGTATTTGACCAGATCTTGTATTAATAATGACACATGTTCATGCAGGTAAATATTGGCCACTCTTTATTTCTAACTGATTCAATGCCATTGTTACTAATACCCATGCTAGTTAGTTAAACTTTTCATTTACACTTTTAAAAACATAAAAAGGTCATTACCAGGAAGAATACCTTGGCATTCAGAAGGTGAACAATTAGTAGAGATACAGCATGCCTTACAAGAGTGCTAGAATACCACAGAAAACTAACTATGCTGTTATATTTGGGTTTTTGTCCTCATGAAGGTGACTCACGTTTAACCAGGACACATAATCAAACTGAACTCACTGCAGAGCAGGAGGTGCTTTGGAGAAGCTCCAGAGGGCACCTGGATGGCATTTTCCATTATTACCATGAACATGTTGAGTGTTGTTAATTTAGAAACAACTAAATTTTGGGCAGACATCATCATGTATACCATGGCAGTCCCGACCACTGAGGTCACTGAGGTCAGGACCTCAGTATTTTTTCCTAGGTGCATACCTAAAAATAATTTCACTTTCATATGGCAAAGATATTGTGGCGCCAAGAGAATGAGCAACTTGGTCACTGATTGTCTGTGAATATGTGGGTAGGTGGGTGGTGAAGTGAATGCTCCTGTCGTCAATATGCAATCTTTGGTAGACGTGGTGGTTCTTGGGTAGGGTGGTATGTGCAGTATGTCAGGAATGTCAGCAAATCCAACAGGTAGAATTTAATGTATTCAATGCGAAGTGAGATACTACATGTGAGGTGAGGTGACGTAAAGTGAAATTATCTAGTAACGTGATTAAACTAGATAATTTTACCAGTGCACTGTTTGTAATTCAGTGTTTTACTTCCCCAGTCAGACATCATTTGATGAGAAATATTACAGCTCCTCCTGTGCTGCGGTTGTGCTTGTGCAGTGAATTAACACTTCATTGGCTAGAACAGTCAAATATTGATTGACCCATCTCCATGATACGTCAACACTAGTGATGAATGAAAAGACTTTGGTAGAAGTTAAAGTCACCTGTCAGAATATTACTTGATGAAAAGTCTTAAAGTATTTTGACAACTTCTGCTTCACAGAGGACACAGTGCAGTTCCAACCACTGTCAACCTTTATTGACAATCAATTGATGAACAACAGACTCAATACTCAATGTGTAAAAATAGCTGGGGTCATGAAAAGGAATAGCAAACTCACTAATGGTGCAAACTACAAATTAACACACAAGTGACAATAACTAGCATAAACCATCATGCTCTGAACAGGCAAACCACAGACAATAAAAAAAGATGACAGATGTGTTATGGAACAGAAAACAGCAGGCTTAACAGCAACTACAATAGTATCTAATGGTTGCTGTACTTATGTATCAAAGTAATTTTCTGACCTAAAATTTACTAAGGTACTGAAATGTAAATGTAAATGCTGTAAAAATAAATAAATAAATAATTTCAAGTAAAAGAAATGCCCGGCAGTTTTACAGCACTGGGCAAACAAAGTTATGGTGCATTACTGTCAGCGACTGGTATGGTGTGCAGATTGTGATTATTGTAACTTGCAAGCTAGGAGCACTGATTTACCAAACCATACTTGTAAGGAGGTAGGTTGGGGTGATGGATGGGTCACAAAAGAACTGACTTTTGCCAGTGACTTTACCCTGGAGTTGCGTGTTTGGATCCGTGTGAACTTTGAGTCATTTTAAGGAACGTCCTCACCATGTTTCTTTTCCTAAACCTAACCACAGTAACTTTACATGCTTAAACTTAACCACATAACTTTAGGTTAATTACATTACAGCTGTCTTTTAGTGGTGTAACGTCCCTCGTGGGACTCAAATTCCTAGGATATTATATGAACTGTTGTGCATGCATTTTTTTTTAGAATGTCATGTGACCTATGCTATGAGAATATATGTATAGTCACACGTGCCCCAAGTACAACATTTAGCTCTAAATCCACAAAACCAGCCTGAAAATGAAGGAGATCTGAAGTCTGAAAGAGCTGAAGATCTGACATTATTGGATGAGAGTCTATGGAGCACAGCTGTGTTGTTGTCGAACCCTTATCAGAGCTGGCTGATGTTACACTTTGATTGGCCAGTCTGTGTTCTGAGCAAAGGGTTGATTATGACATTTGTGTCCCAAATTAATCAACCAGGAATGTGTGCAAACCAAGACAAACGCAGCATGTGCATGCAAACTCCAGAGACAGTGTCACAGCTGGCAGGGTTGGGGTCAAACCTGAGACCCTCTTGCTGTGAAGAGAAAGTGCTGAGAAAAAAAGGTACTGTTTTCCTGCAATTTGTCAAGGTCACTCTTGTGCAAACTTGCCAATGAGCTCATTGTGGCCAGGACCTTTGTAAAATCTTCATACTGTAATGTCTCCCGCTTTCGACTGCATTAATTAAAATGAAAAAGGTTGGAATGGAAATGAACTGAGAAATGGAGTAATGCTAGAGGAGTCCCACGGTGTGCAAAAGCCAGAGGAAACAGGATTAAAATACGTCAGCCTCAGGACTGTGCTGCCTTCAAGGCCACAGACCACAGCACACCAGGGAACACAGCAGGCTGCTGTCATTCTTCACACACTCTCGCTCTCTCACACACACACAGCTGATGGCCCACTAGGGTTGGCCAGGACAGCTTGTCAAATTTCAGCCTTCTCCAACTGTGATATCTCCTCCAACTGCCCTTGCTCATCAACAGTGGTAGCTCCATGTGTTACTGATGGCACAGCTTTGTCCCCTGAGGCTGAGCGAGGGACCAACGCCTGCACCCTGAGTACGAAGCTGTAATCACAACCATAATGCTTAGTGTATCTGTCTCTCTATAATGACATTGACAATTCTTCGCTGTCATCATCAGCCAAACAGTGGCTCTGCCTTGGTAACACAATATACTCTATCCTTTCATTCCTGCCTCAACCAGTCTGGGACCCTTTATAAAGACCTTGTTAAGAGTTTTCTCTTAATCCCTGTGGCTCCTCCTGTGAAATGATTTAGCCTTTTTTTCCCCTGTTCTTCCCACTCATTTACTTTGCCTGTGATTTCCTGATAGCACCACAATAACCTTGGTGCTTGGACATGAAAGGTGAAAAGCCTTTTTTCTCCCTCCTTCCCCCCCTAGCAATGTTGAGGGATTTAGAATAGTTGACTCACCATAGAGGTTAAAAATTGACTGTTGAGAAAGCGAGGAGCTCATCTTTTTCTGAAGCACTGCCTGTAATCCTCGCCAGGGACCCAATTCAGAGGAGGTCAAATAAAGTGGCTTGTGTCGGTGTGTGTTTGTTTGTGTGCAGGCTGAATGTTTATTCTGTCTCTCCACGTCTATTCTACTTGCTGTTTCTGGCTCCATTTAACACTGTGTTAGTACAGCATCTCTATATTCAGGCCGATTCAAAGTCAACTCCTTGTCCTGTTTTCATAGCTCATTTACTGCTTCCTTGAATGTAGCGTGTGATGTGTGTGGAAGACGCAGCGCTGATAGCAACAGTAGGTAATGATTACACTTCACGCTCCCTCTTGGTATTGCTTTGGTATATTTGCTATAGACATGTCAGTTTAAATTGCTTTCCATGGGTTTCATTACGGATTTCTGTTTGTGTGTTGGCTTCTGTGTGCTGCAGCATGCAGTGAGTGTGAGAGACTTAAGTGTTATGTCCTAGCAGACACACACTGTGATAATTCCAAGTGCAGCTTCAAGGCTTTGTAGTGACTGGAGAACTTAGACGTGACAGTGTGTTGTGCTGCAGTGATGTCAGTTGCATTTGGACTACTCGTCTATTCCTTTGCTGGGATATCGGTGAGAGCAACCTCTACAGCTTTCTTTGGTCGCTTTCCTGTCCTTGATACAAACCAATTTTCTCTGTATTTGTCACAGTCCATTTTTGGTGGAGGACATGTCCGCCTCTGATGAGAGCTGAAGGTTGAAGCAAGTGCCTGTTTATGCATGTGTGTGGTAGTGAAGCGCCAAGGTCACACACTCTTACAAGCAACTTCGTCTGCAGATCCAGCTAATAAAACTTCCCCCTCCCTCCTTTCTTTGTTCTCTCTTTCTGCTTACCTGTTTGTTTGCTGAGGACCATGCCTGGAATTGATGTTTCACTTTTGATTAGTGCCTAATCAGTTATGCAAACAGATATCATTGGAGACATACACACACAGAAGGCACCTACAAGTACACAGCTTTATGTTGCTGCTGTGTAACACACAGTCCTGCATTTTGTTTTTTTCTTTTATGACAGAGAGACATCAGTCCTCTACATATAAAGCTGGCAGAATGATACAATCTGGCATCAAAATGATGGGAAATAATTTAGCAATTTCATTGTTGTAAAATTTACAACAATTTTAAAAACATATCATCATA